GGTGAGCCCCCAGCTAAGGGGCTGGGGGGGGGGGGAGGGGGGGGGAAGAAGTGGTTGTGGGCGGGGCTTGGCTAGGAAGGGGGCGGGAACTAAGAGAGAAACCCTGCGGTAGGCCAGCCCTGAGTGTGGGTGGGGCCTGAGATGGGCGGGGTGCTCTCTGTGGGAGGGGGTCTGGGCGGGACCGGGCGCACACCTGGAACTTGTTGGTGGAGTTGAAGGGGATCTCGCAGACTTTGGGGAAGCGCTCACGGTAGCCCATGGCGTTGCCTAGGGTCAGCTCCGAGAACTTGAGCAGCGCAGTCTCGGACGCGTCCCCGATCACGATGCGCTGGAAGCGGCGGCGGGTGTCAGGGGCGAGCCTGGCTGCACCAGGCTCCCGGGATCCCCCGGAGTACCCTATGGTCTCACCTTGGGCACCGGCACCGCGTCCTGGCCCGACTTGAAGGCAGCGCGGTTGCACAGCGTTAGCACGCGGCATAGCGCCCGCCACGTCTCCGAGGACTGGTCAAACGTCTGCCCTGCAGGCCAGGCGTCCAGGCTGGGGCCGCGAGGGGACTCCTCGCGGGCCCCAGACCCGGCGCAGCGCTCTCCCATACCAGAACCGAGTCCCTCTCTCTAGATTCAGGACAGGGTCACCTCCCAGACCTGGGTGGGACCCAAACCCCTCCTCATACCCCAGGACAGAGCCTTCTCTCCAGACCCAGTACTGAGTTTCCTAGGAGACCCAATACCAAGCCCCTTTGCAGACCTAAAGCTTCACAGACCCTTGCCCCGATCGGGATGGAGCCCCACTCCATTAATGCAGATCCCTCCCCAGACTCCCTTCAGTAACCTCAGAGCTCCCTTCCAGGTCTCAAGCGTCTACCAGATCCTGCCCCAGCCCCGTCTCGTTCCACCCCCACACCTGACTGGTCTTCCGTAGTGTCAGCCGAGTGGATGTGGTTGTCAAACCAGAGATGGGACACAGTCATGCGGTTCTGAGTGAGGGTCCCTGTCTTGTCAGAGCAGATCACTGATGTGGAACCCAGTGTCTCCACTGCTTCCAGGTTCTTGACGACACAGTTCTTGCTGGCCAGTCGCTTGGCTGTCAGGGACAGGCAGACCTGGGAGAAGGGGTGAGAAGCGCAGGTAGGGGGCCCCATCCTTGCTTCTAGTCCTTCCCTTCTCTCACAGCACGGCGAGCCTGCATCCCAGCCCCAGTACTGTGTACACAGCATTCCTCGGCAAAACCCATGCTTTTCTTGCCTCTGTTTTTTCCGGCCTGTGCTTTCTTCCACTTGGGACACCTCCCCAATCTGCCCAGACAGACATAACTAGGCCCTTCTCTAAGCTGCCCAGGCTGAGGTTCTGTAGGTTCTCTTATCAACACAACCAAACTGAGAAAGCAGACATCCTCTGAACCTCCTCTGGGGCTGGTCTTGGACTGGGTGCTAACTGTTGAGGGCTGCCCACACTGGACCTCAGCCTCCTCCTGTCAAGGATGCGTCCTGTTCATCTGTGAGTCCTCAGCGTTTGGTATAGTGTATGGCCCAGACTAGCGTTGGTGAGTGTTTGCTGAATGGATGGATAGATGGAGAGACAGGGGGTGGGGAGGATGGTTGATGGGAAGGTGTGTGGGTGGGAAGTGAGGGGGTGGTAGGACAAATAGGGAGACGATGCAGGCAACCCTGGATGAATGAACACACAGATGGACGAGCCTCTCAGCTCTCTGCACCTCTTTTCTGTCTCCCCAACTCACCGTGACAGTGGCCAGCAGCCCCTCAGGCACGTAGGCTACCACAATGGCCATGAAGAAGACCATGGCCCGCAGGAAGGTGTAGCCAATGCACATGGCCACCACAAAAAATGTGGCGCCGAAGAGGATGGCCAGGCCTGCGATGATGTCCACAAAATGTTCGATTTCAATAGCGATGGGGGTCTTCTCATTTTCTACTCCCGATGCCAGCGATGCAATGCGCCCAATGATGGTGCGGTCACCTGTGTTCACCACCAGGCCCTGTGCCGTGCCTGCAGTGGGGCCAAGAGGGCGCCTCAGGGACAGGTGGGCAGCAACGGGGGTGTGCACGCAGTGTGAACGGCAGAAGGGAAGTCATGGGAGATAGAGGGGCAGGATGCCCCGAAGAGGGGGTGGTCACGTGAGGTGGGCAGGCAGTGTGGCTTCATACAAGGCAGAAGGAGGGGAGTGTGGAGGCAGCGTGGTCAGCCGGGGGGGGGGGGGGCGGGGGGCCTCCCAGACCTTCAAGGCACATGGTGGAGAAGAAGGCGATGTTGCGGGTCTCCAGGGGGCTCTCGTGTGTACATTCGGGCGAGCGGGTCTGCGGCTCAGACTCTCCAGTCAGCGAGGAGTTGTCCACCTTGCAGCCCTGGGCCTGGAGGATCCTGATGTCCGCTGGCACTCGGTCCCCGCCTTTCATCTCCACCAGGTCACCCACCACAAGCTGGTCTGCATTGATCTGGAACTTGTCCCCATCTCGGATCACAGTTGCTTGCTGTGGGGCAGGGGCACAGGGTTGAGGTGGGCAGGGGTGGGGGTGGAGGCCGCTGGGTGCAGGGGAAGGTGGGGAGATGCAAAGAGGGAGCTGTGGAGGACCTATGGGCGGAGCGGGAGGCTACAGGCTGGGAGCAGGTTGGGCCTGGTGGGAAGGCCCACACAGACGCCAGGAGCCTCCCTGCGCCCGCCCGAGTGCACACAGGGAACTGAATGGGGACCCACCTGGGGCACGAGGTTCTTGAAGCTGGCAATGATGTTGGTGCTCTTAAACTCCTGGTAGTAGCCAAAGCAGCCAGTGACCACGACCACGGCGATGAGGGCCAGTGCCAGGTACAGCTGGGTAGAGGCAGGAAGGGGGCCAGGCTGATGAGAAGGGGGCGGAAGATCCCTGCGCGGGGGCGCCCGCCTGCTCCCTGTCCCCCGGTGTTCTTGGGGTCACCCCTGTGGTTTTCCCTGCTTTACTAGCCACCACATGCACTGTTCCCCGTGGCCTGTGTTCCCTGTCCCTGTGTTCTCCACGTCCCACATTCAGCTTCCCTGTATTCCCAGTGTCGTGTACCTATATCCCATATTCTCTGGGTCCTGAACCCTACATCCCCCATGTCCCCATATCCTACGACTTGTGCCCTGTGTCACCATGCATCCTTTCCTGCGTCCTTTTGAGTCCTGCATTCCACATGTCTGCTGTCCTCTGTCCCCTCATGTTCTCATGCCCTATAGTCCCTGTGTTACAAGTTTCGTGTTCTGTGTTTTCATAATCTGTGTGCCACCTCTATGTGCCCTGTGCCCCAAAGTGCACCCTCCTGTCCCCATTTCCATGTTAGTATGCTGTCGATCTTATGCTTCATATTCTGTGGACTCCACGATCATGTTCCAAATTCCAAGTCCCTATGTCCAACGTCTCCCCATGTCTGTGTACCTCTAAGTCCCCATCTGGTGGCACATGTCCTATGACTTTCAAATCCCTGTCAATGCCACACGTCCCTAAGTTCCCACGTCTCTTGTTCTGACCCCTGTCATATATCCAATGTCCTCTTGTCCCACATTTCAATATTCTCTGTCTCTGTGCTTCCTTGTCTGCTTCATGTCTCTCTAGGCACTGTGTCCTGAGTCTTCGGTCCCCTATGTCCCTATGCCCTGTGTCCCATGTCCCTTGTGCCCTTGGTCTGTCCCGTGTCTTCTGTTTCCCAAGTTGCATATCTCAAGTATTGTATTTCTACGTCTTTGTATCCCCACCCGTGTCCTCCATATCTGAGATACATTCTCTGTGTCCCCTGTGACCTGTGTCATCGGGTCTGCCCCATATCCCAGTATCGTTCATCTCCCCCTCCTCTTGCCCCCCGTGACCTATGTCTTGGAACTGCATTTCCACGTGTCTGTGTCCCCATCCTGTATCCCTCGCGTCCTGAGTCCATGCTCAATGTTCTCTATCCTCCAGTTCCCTGTGTCCCACGTCTGCCCACAGCAGCTGCTACTCACATTGTCGTCGGTGGTGAGGTCCCCCTCACTGGCCTGGATGGCAAAGGCAATGAGACAGATGGCAGCAGCCACCCACATGAGGCACTGCAGACCACCGGCCAGCTGCCGGGCGAACTTGACATACTCAGGGGTACCACGCGGCGGCCGCAGGGCATTGGGCCCATCCCGCAGCAGCAGATCCGCGGCCAGGCTGGCAGTCAGGCCCTGGGGACAGGGCAGGTGGTCGCAGTGGCTTCCAAGGGCTTTCGTCTCACCACATGCTCCTTGGTGGGGGGTAGCTCTTCTGTCTGTCTCTTTCCCCTCTCCTCCCCTCTGTCTTGTGCCTCTTCGTTTCTGTGTCATCCTTGCCTCTGTCCTGCCCCTTCCCCCTGCCCTCCACCGAGTCTCTCTCGATTTTCCTGCCTGGTTCTCTCTTCCTGTTGTCTCTGCTCTGCTTCTCTCTCTTATCTGCCTCTTTGTCTCTCTCTGTCTCTGCCTCTCTGCCTCTTTTTAGCTGCTTCTCCTACTCCATCCCTCTCTCTATTTGGCCCTTTCTCTCTAATGCATTTCTCCCTTTTCTTCCTCTCTCTCTCTCTCTCTCTCTCTCTCCCTCTCTCCCCTTCTCTGCACGCACCCCTCCCTCTGCGCCCAGCTCACCTTGGTCGCACTGGTCTGGTATTTCTGTTCCAGCTCCGCGACTGATAGCTGGTGGTCGTTCTGCGTGGTGGGGGCAGGACAGTCACTGTCCAGCTCTCACCGGCCGCACTCCTGCCCCCCACCCAGCCCCCTCGCCCCCTGCTCACAAGCTCCATCTCCTTCTTCATGTTCTCCAGCTTCTCCTTCCTCTTGCCTCCTTTACTGCCTGCCTTCTTCTTGCTCATCTTGGCTGCCATGTCCCCACCAGGGCCAGGTCCCAGCTCTACTGAGTACATCTCGTAATTCTCCTGGGGATGAGAGGAGCGGGGAGGCATCAGATCCCACTGAAACTCCTGCCTCCAGCCTCCAGCCTCCCAACCCCTGACTCCGGGCCCCACTCACTGCCTTCCCCATAGTGCCTGGTGCAGCCACCCTCCTTTGCTGAGACAGAGCCTAGGGTCTGGACTGGCCCTGATATACCCAGGGAGGGAGGAGGTGGAGCAAGACTGCCCCAATTACAGCTGATTGTGGGGCTCCTTGGGGTGACCTCCAGGCCTAAGCAGCTCAGGAATTACCTACTGAGCTGCCCCAACGTGCCCAGACCCACCTCAACCTGCCACTGAGATCAGGGACCACTGAGGATGTCCATCGTAACAACAAGAACAGCAAACATACGGTGTTCATCATGTGCCAAGCACCGGGCTCAGGGCTTTCCTGTATTAACTAATGTAACCTCACAACATCCCTTTGAGACGAGTACTATTCTTTCCTCTCCCTACCACAGAGATGGGGAAACTGAGGCACGGGATGGTTAAGTCACTTGCCTGTTGTCCGCAAGCTCGGACGTGGAAGGGTCAGGACTCAGAACCAGGTAGGCTGGCTGCAGGGTCCTCTTCCAGGCCACACTGCCCATGCCTGACTCCTGGAGGGGGAGCGCGCTCACAACGGTTGCTGTAATAGCTGTTGTTTAGGGAGGACTTCCTGGTTCTGGCTCTGCCCAGTGTGCTTTGTGTGAATGTTTCATTAGCTCCTCACCCTATAAAGTTATGTTCTCTTATTGGCCGCCATTGTACAGATGAAGAACCCAAGGCACAGAGAGGTTAAGGACTTGGTCTAAGGCCATGATGACTAAGTACCAGGGGCAGGATTCCAGCCCAGGTCTGACCCCGGAGCCTGGCTCTCGTATGGGACCACCAGTGAAGAAGCCCACAGTTCACATCAGCAGTCGGTGGCAAGTGTGAGCCAGGCCCTGCACACATGCGACCTTGGGGGTCCCTGCAACAAACCCCTGTGCGGGCGGCATTAACATTCCCGTTGTGCACAGGGGAAACCAAGGCCTGGAGAGGTTCAAGGAGGTCCCGGAGGTGCCCCACACATCCAGCCATAGCCATTACAGGTGCTCCCATCTCCACGCCAACCTGCCCGCGTGGGGAAACCAAGGAACAGAGTGGGGAAAAGACGTCTCCAAGGATCCCGGCTCGATCTTGGTTTTGGTGCCAGGTTTGAGGTCCCCCGGGCGGGCACCCCTGTGGGCAGCAGGGAGGATCTGGACTGCCGGAATGGCAGGTTCTTGATATCTCATGCTTGGCCTCACAGCACCGACGTGTATCTCAGGCCAGGCACGGGTATATCTGATAAGATAATTGCTCTGGCGACGTCCTTTCCTCCTGAGGCAGGTCACCTGGGAAAGTTTAAGCTGTTGAGCAGCCCAACCTCCTCCCCATACCCACCCAGCTGGTCATCCCATCTCCTGCTACAGGGGACCCCCAGAGAGGAGACTGGTGGGGTGAAGTCACACTGAGTGCCCTTACAATGACTCTGCTTGCACTGGGGGCTTCAGCTCTCTGAACCACACATGTGAAGCACTTTGTGTCACGTCGCTCCTCTGCTTACAACTCTCCAGGGGTTTCCCTTCTCGCTCATAATAAACTCTCAAGTCATTCCTGACAGATCTTGCCCTGGCTCACCTCACCTGGCCCAGTTTCTACTACGGTTCAACAGGCACTGGCCTTCTTGCTGCACTTTGTACAGGCCAAGGTCATTTGCACTTGCAGGTCCCTCTGCCTGATGCTCTCTTCTTTAGAAATCTGCACGATTCTTTCTCGCCGTCAGGTCTCAGTTCAAATGTCATCTCTTCAGATAGTCCTTCCAATATTTCACCCTGATCAGGCTCCATGCCCTTGACGCTGCTTTACTCACACCCCTTGTCCCAACCTGACACTGTATTTTATTCTCATTTGTTTGCTGTCGATCTTGTCACACGAGAAAGAAGACTGGGACTTGGTTGTGTTTGCTGCTATACACACGGCACCCAGAACAGTGTCCTCAGACACACAGTACATGGTCAGAAGACACTGTTGGATGTGGAATATTCATTAGCAAAAACGGAGTATTGGGCAGGCCCTCAGGAAGTCTCAGTCACTGGGAATTCCTTGGTTCCCCTTGCTCTCTCTAGCCCTTCCACCCTGCCCACCAGCCCCCTACCTCTGAAAGCATCCAGAGCCTGGGGCAAATATGATTCAGGACCATCACAACCTAAGTCACAGGTGGAGAGACCAAGGCACAATCACTGGCAGCAGATGGCTGACCCCCGACACGTGCAGACCTCTGTCATAATCAGGGACTGTCTTCCTCTAGTCTCTGTTCCATTTGTCCCTTTATTTTCATTTCTTAGTTTTACTATGTTCCTTTTCAATGTTTTATTTTTAAATATTTCAGACCCACACGTTACAGGGAGAAAATGAATACCTGCCTACCTTTCAGCTAAATGGAATGATCTTATCAGTTGGTGGTTTCTAGAGGAATGATAGATGACACACAGAGAGAGTGAGAGCGAGAGAGAATAGATTTTTTTTTAAGCTTGGGCTTAACCACTTGAGAGTAACTTGGAGACAGGATGCTTGTTTATCTGTGAACATGTAGGCATGTGTCTCCCACGAATATGGACACTCTCTTACATGACCGTGGTCCAACGGTCAGATGCAGGACGTTCACACTGACATGACATTATGAGCTAATCTAGGGAACATATGTGAATTTCCTATTTTCCCTCTCATGTCCTTTTTGTGGTCCGGGATCACACTTGACATTTTTAGTTGCCGTGTCTCCTCAGTCTCCTCCAATCTGTGACATTTCTTTACTCTTTCCTTGTCTTTCCAGACCTTGCCATTTCGGAAAAGTATCAGTCCGTTATTTTGTAGAATTTCCCTCAGTTTGGCTTGGCCGACGGTTCCCCATGATTAGACTCAGATCATGTGCTTTTAGCAGGAACGCAGCAGTGATACACGCCCATCTCAGAGCGTCGTGGCAGGATGGGCCTCATTTCTGAGCCTTTAAGTGATCTGGACCGGGGTAGACATTTGGAGGATATCCAGAGGCTTAGGGAATGACCAGAGGGCTATTCTATGATCTGTATTTTCCATGCAAAACGCTGTCACAGGCACAGCTGGCACTCGGTAATGAAAACACAGTCACCGCCTGAGCCCCCCACCACATCCGCAGCCGGCCACTTAAAGAGGCTGCTGGCCCAGCCCCATGGCCTTGTCCGTTCCAACTGTTCAGTGTCTGGCCATGTCCACAGTTAAATACTTTCACTGCCCCCCGCCCCCGCCCCTGGCGTCACTCCAGGTCTGCGTCTTGTGGGAGTCTTTCCTCGTGCATTTATTCTTTCATTGTGCATCCAAACGACTCTGACCCTGTCTCTGGGGGACACAGGCTGTGGCCCACAGGCAGGATCTGGGTAAAGCAGGAGGTGTGCTGTTGGGACCCGGAGTGGAGTCTATCTCAGTCTGATGGGCACCTCCCGGCACAACTTGGGGGCAAAGACGTCTCACAAGAAGGTTGTAAGTGTGACACCATCTACTGAACACAGTAGGTGCAAGATTTCTTGGAGCCGGAGACACGCAGATCACTGGAGACTTCTTCAAGAACAATTAATGGTCAGAAGTGATTTTTTTTTTCCCCCTGAGAAAGAGAGGGCAGAGGATAGACTTTTAAGTGGATGGTGAATGTGGAGTGGGTTTTAGGGGGTCTCCTGGAATTGTGACCACACACACTCTTAGGGACTCAGCACCCTACAAGTCCTGATGGGCTCAGACCCCTGGCTGCGCCTCCTTCCCACATGCCTTCCCCTGTCAAGCTTTGGGATGCAGCCCACGCAGCCCCTCTGTTTACCAAAATTGTCATTTCAACATCTTGGCACCTGAAGCTTCCTCCACCGGAAACACTCCCCCTACACCCTCCCACATTCAGCTACTTGTCTTTTGTGCTCCGGCACAGATGTCCTTTCCTCTAGGGAACCTCCTTGGACCACCTGCCCGCTGGATCAAGTACCTCCCCTGGGCTCCCACAGGCCCCTGGGCTTCCCCATCCCAGCCCTGACCCCTCTGGCCCATAATTCCTCCATCGCAAGCCTGGCCACTCTCGGCCGGTCTCATTTCCCCCCTGCCTCATGAGAACAGGATCCACGAAGTCTCAGTCACTGCCTTGTGCCCTGTATCGCCCAGCCCAGGGAGTGTTTACTGAGTGAAAGAACTCACTGTGACCATGACGTTTGGTCTGTGTTTGGTCTCTCAGATAAGATAGTGGATTCAGCAATGCCCTTCGCCTCATGGGCAGGTCACCCTTCCCCCCCACCCCCACCCCCACCCCCACCATCTCCAGGCCTTGGGAAGACTGAAGAGAGGGGCAGAGCAGGCAGAGAACCTTGCTTCTTGCTCCTTTTCGGGCTGGTGTAGGAGCCACAATGGGTTTGGCAGAGACAAGGTCTGGCCCCAGCCTGGCGAAGCTGGCGGCCACATCTCCCGTGTTCTACTCCTCTCCCACTTTCGTCCAGATGTGGGAAGGTTGACCATCCTCAGGAAACTGCCAAGCTGTCCTTATCTGGGATCTTAAAATCACATCCAGAATCCAACCATGTCTCTCTACTCCGCTCCCATGCTGGTTCCGTCTCCATTCCTTCCTGCCTGGACATCGCAGCAGCCTCCCTCCCAGTCTCCCTGCTCCCATCGTCTGCTCCCCACCCACAGCCAGAGGGAGCCCGTGAACCCCTGAGGTCTGGGCTCTTCTGGCTGAACCCTTCAGTAGCTCCACCTGACTCTTGAAAGCAAAGTCCGCACAATGGTGCCCAAGGCCAACGATCTGGCCTGTGGCCTCCCAGACCTCTGCTTCCCCCACTCCAGCCACACTGACTCCCTGCTGTGCCTCAGACCCAGCAGACAGCCTTCTGCCTCCTGCCTTAGCATGTGCCCTTTTCCTCCTCTGGGAATGCTCTTCCTCCAACACCTACATGGCTCCCTCTCTCCCTCCATCAGGTCTTTGCACAAATGTTACCTTCCCAGTGTGAGCTCCTTGACTAGCTGAATTAAAACTATGACCTGTGGTCCCCCTGCACCTCTGTCTCAGTTACCTTCTCACATACTATGTAATTGCT